CACAAGTTTCTACATACTCTCCCACCAACACCAGCAGTTCAATCAGCCACGAAAAGCCTGCCTGTCCAAGTTGACATAGTTCCTCAGCTCCCCACAATCCCAGGCCTCTGCGCTTATCTGCCTGACTTCATTTCTGGCCCAGTCGATGTTGACCAGGGGACCTGGGATCCCTACGTCCACCCTCCCGAGTATCCGCCTTCGTTGGAAAGTGGTGCCGCTGTCTCCGGAATAGGGCTTTCTTTCCGCTGGACACACGTGAAAAATCACTGGGGAACTTAAGAGATTCTTCATCATCATATTCCTCTTCCAACTCTTCATCTTCCCCCAAGGCTGGAGAGGCATAGAGGTGGCAAGAGTTGCTAGAAGAGCCATTTCCTCCCTCAGAGTAAGGCCCTTCTGGAATTCTAGGTGTTCCCTGGCAGCTGCAAGCAGATGGAATGGAAAGAAAAGAAGGGTTCCCATCCTCCTGGTACCCAGCCTCGTTTTCTTTTAAGAGTTCCTGGTCCACTCCTGACTCTTCTTCTGAAGATGTCTCACTCTGGTCAGGGTCCTCTGCCTCTCTAGGTGGTCCTGGACCCCTTGGGGGGCCATGTCTTGGGTCCAACCAATGAGCTGGGTTTGGGTGCTGTGTGTACTTAGGACCAGAGTGCTCTGTGAGGCAGCGGGTGCCATTAGGAGCAGTCCCTGCTGAGTCTGTAAGTCCTGAGAATGAAGGTGTTTCAGGGTCCACGGAGGGTCCTAAAGCCCTGAGGGAGGCACCACCACTCTGGTGGGCTCTACACAACTCTCTTTCTCTGGGGTGCTTCTGGGCCATGACCCCGGGGCTTCCTGAGGGTCTCAGGTAACAGGCGTCATGGTGTGTTCTGATGCCGAAAAAGGGCGGTAACTCCTCCCCCTCGAGCTGCCAGGCCTGGGGTCAGCCAGCTCTGGATTTTTATACTGAGTTCAAGAGCCCTATTACCAAACCTTTCTGACAGGTAGTAAGCACCACACCATACTGTGCTACAGAAAGAAAACTTCTTTATAGGTTTATAAACAATCACGTACTTCTTTTTATTTTTTATTTTTTTATTTCTTGAGATGCAGTGTGGCTGTCACCCAGGCTGGAGTGCAGTGGCGCAATCTCTGCTTACTGCAACCTCCACTTCCCTGGTTCATGTGATTCTTCTGCCTCAGCCTCCAAGTAGCTGGGATTACAGGCATGCGCCAACATGACTGGCTAATTTTTGTATTTGTAGTAGAGACGGGGTTTCACCATATTGGCCGGGTTGGTCTCGAACTCCTGACTTTGTGATCTGCCTGCCTCGGCCTCCCAAAGTGCTGGGATTATACGCATGAGCCACTGTGGCTGGCCAAATCACGTACTTCTTTTTAAAATAATAAAATCATACATGTAATCAAAGACTTCATGGAAGTCTGCTATGTGTCCACACATGCTGGATTCAGATGATGGGGGCTAGCACATAAGCTATCTTGGGAAAATCCTATAATGCCACAGGAAGTGTCATCTTGCAATTTCTAGAAAGAAATATCATTGAGAGTCAAATAATCTTCATTGCTCTAAAGTGATTCCATGATGAGGCCAGTATCTAAAAGAATTTATTCTGGGCCAGGCACGGTGACTCACGCCTGTCTCTTATACACATCTAGATGTGTATAAGAGACAGGGGTTTCACCGTGTTAGCCAGGATGGTCTCGATCTCCTGACCTCGTGATCCGCCCGTCTCGGCCTCCCAAAGTGCTGGGATTACAGGCTTGAGCCACCGCGCCCGGCCACAAATTTTTTATTAATTTTTCCTGAAGTATAATATGCATGAAGTACCCAAATGACAAGTACAGCTAAAAGAATTTTCACAAAGTGAATACACCATGTAGCCGCCTCCCCCAAATCAAGATACAGAATGTAACCAGAATCCCAGAAAGCATCCCACGATTCCCCTAAAGATAACCACTATTCTGATATATTATAATAGGTTAATTCCCACCACTGTTTTGGCTTCATTTAAATGGAATCATAGTTTAGACTCCTGTGCATCCAGTTGCTTCTGCTCAATATTACATGTGTGAGATTCATCCATGTTGCTGCATGTTGCAACAGTTTATTCTATTTTTTGCTTGTTTTGTAGTACCTTATATATCACAATTCATTTATCCATTCATGTCTTGATGATTATTTGGGTTGTTTCCAGCTTTTGACTCTTACGAAGACTATTCAACTTCAGCAGATACTGCCAAAGTTTTCCAAACTGGCGAGAACAGTTTATAGCCCTCTCAGCAGGGTGCAAGTGTTCTTGTTTCTCTGCTTCCTTGCCAACACTTGGTATTATCAGCTTTTTAAATCAGGCATTCTGTGTCTAATCTGCTGCAGGCATAGCAAAGTCTGGCTGTACTTTATTTTTTAAATGTTAATAAAATTAGATCCTGAAATTTTTTCGCTTGCTATTAATTCTCATATTTTACATGCTTCTTTGTTAGTATTTCCTACATCATAATCATGTCTGCAAATAGAATTGTATTTCTTTTTTTTTTTTTTTTTGAGTCGGAGTCTCACTCCGTCACCCAGGCTGGAGTGCAGTGGCACAATCTCCGCTCACTGCAAGCTCCACCTCCCGGGTTCACGCCATTCTCCTGCCTCAGCCTCCCGAGTAGCTGGGACTACA